TTGCAAAATATGCAGTCATGACTGATCACAGACAGTAGTAATAACTAAGGATAAAATAGTGCTCAGCCTCCAAAAATATCAATCTCTGTTTTTATTGGCGAATGACTTGCTAGGCCTTTGTATTAGTAAGCTGACAGATGCTGATTTCTATGAGGTTACTCATGTAGAAAGTTTCAAACTGGATTTGGTTTCCCTCTGTCCCACACTCTGTGCAAGCGAGATCACTCTGGCTCATCACTCATTTGCCCAATTTTCCTTGATGAAAGAGTGAAAAGTCCATCGGATCATGCTACTTAAAAGTTCAGTTTCTGGCTCTTGAAAATACTAAACAGTAATTACTTGACCTTAAGGACTTCTATGAATAGATGCAGGTTTCCAGATTCATTACAATCTATTATGTCATTGCAGCTGAAAAAAAAAAGTGTCCTCTTGAGAAGAGAGAGGTCTCCAGGCAGCATCCCAATCATTCTAATCAGATTGTAATAATTTGACCAATTCTATGCTGATTATTAAATGAACTAAGAAGCATGCAGGGGCCATGTAGGGCATGGCTCATTTGTTTTCAACAAATCAAGTTATCAAAGTTTTAGTTTGTGATTTTACTTCATTTGTCCTTCAGGCTCATTATCTCACTACTGGTTGCCAAACCACCTTCTGCTTTGCCACTTGCATGATCCCACTTGGGGCTGTGATCACTGTTTTGAGAACCACTGCCTTAATGTCTGCATATAACACTATTTTTAAGGGATCTTTGATGAAAAAGAAACCATAAATGTTTACCTTTTTAGTTTACCAAGTCAGACAGAAAACACATTTAGCACTCTAAGTATTTCGTGAGCCATCAAGCACACTGTAGATGGGCCTCTTGTCTTCAGAAAGTCTTAAAGACTACAATAAATGTCCAGTATGTTCGTATAAGAAATCACACACAGTTCAGTTGGCTTTTAGTTTCAAGCAGCTTCATAACAATTATTCTATTGCATCATTCGTCTCTTTTTAGTGTATGGACTGAGATGTTTCTGGCTGTCACTGAATAGTTCCTTTATCTTAATCAAACAGCAGTTTCAGAGGCAAAAGTATTTGGGGCCACCTTGCCCCAGGCAAGCCTTAGCACATATTTGCTCTTCTGACCTGATGTTCAGTCAGTGCCTCTCTGAAGTAAGATTATTTGAAATTAATGTAGTTCTATAACCAAGTTATATTAGTATTACTTTCATATTTTAAAGCTTTCTGTGGCTTCCTATGTCCATCCATGCATGCTTTATTTTGGATGATATCTGTTCCTTTTCATTCTCTGTGAAAAGTAACAAAGTTATTACTGAAACTTCTAGACCAAGATTTCATTACTGCAACCTTTACAAGCTTCTGAATTTGCACTCCCACATTAGGAAATTGTGCTTATATTTTCTTTTTATGTGTGTCAACTATTTTTTGTAATTCAGTTATAAGACATTATTATTTTAAAAGGGAGAATGGCAGTAAATAGAAAAAATAGTATTTTTTAAAAAAACATTGCTGTCATATTTAGGTATAAAACCATTAACTACCTGGGATTTGTTTAAAGATAATACTGCATGTGTTTGTGAGATCAAGGCCCAAGTTCAGTATTATTCCATTGCTCAGAAAACAGATCAACAAATAACTAACACATGCAGCTGAGGTTCCCTCCCAAATCCTGTAGTTTGAATGACATAAACCAATGCTTTTAGGATTAATGTATTTCCAGCCCTGCATGGATGCAATATCTTGACATTACCTTTTGTATTCTTTGGTTTCTTAGCAATTCTTACTATTCCTTTAAAGTAAAACTTTGTTTATTTAAGACTAAGTTGGCTTCTTTTTATAGCTTTTCCTCCTAACATTCATAATTGGCTGTTCTGCATTACACCCTACTAGACTAACTAATACTGAAAAAAAAATCTCATTCTGATATATAATACCACCACACCAGTCATTGCTATTTTCAAGGTAAAGTACTCATTAAATCAAAACAGTTGGAATTTTACTAACACTGTCATCAACATATGCCAGTTATATCTTCCATAAAAATGGGATTTTTGTCCCTGTTTTTAATTCACCTTGCTTATCAGCTATTTCCTTCAACTCATCTAAGAAACCATGAAAAGCTAATGCCACAAGCTCAGCCTCTGGAATTTATTGAATACTCTTTTCCCTTCTGTGTTTTGAATATGTAAACCATTTCTAACATTGTGGAACTGTTTTAGAAAAGAAGTGTCTTTAAAAATATTTTTGTAAGTGAAATTTAAATCAACAATATTTTCAGGATGCAAACTAGAGCTGTTATGTAATGGATCCAATCTTTGTATCAATATCGGTAATTTGGTATTCCATGCATGATGTTTATGAGAGAAATAACTATTTGTGTACAAGCCATGAATGGGCACTCATTTTGAGCAAATGGAAGGTACAAAGCAGGTCATTTATAAAGCACATTAAAGCCTTTTCCTTGAATTTTCTCGATTAGCTTCTTGGAGTATCAAATATTCATAGAAGTACTCAATATCTTTTTCTAAATACCAAATAAACACTGCATTTAAGAAATTAAAATTAAGACTTATACTTTTTCTTAGGGCTTCACATTTCCTCCAATACTGTCAAAAATGTACTCCTAGGTTCCAAAAGCATTTCACTTCCATTTCCAAAACATAAGAACTAATTATATATCTCAAAAAAATATTTATTTCAACAAATGTAGGTTTCTAATGCAGAATCGTAAAGAGTGCCCCCATATTCTTTTATATCTACATATCATCACACCCACTTAATCACATAACCCTTCTAAATATAAAATAATTTCACCTCAATATTACCATGGTCATGTGTCTCAATTAATTCCTTGTCCCTCACATTTTACCCCTGTTTTTGAATTAGTAAACGTGTGTATATCAACCATGTCAGGTATGTCAGGTAGTGATGACATAAACCTGTCAGCTAGAGGGAAGCTCCGTGACGTAATCCGTCATCACTCTTTTCCTGAAATAAACTATAGCTTTCAGGGACTTCTGGAAAGCAGATACTGACAGAAGTTATTGTGACAACAGGCTGAGTATCCTGCATTACAGCAGCAGGGGCTTTTTGTGTCTCCACTTCCTCTGGACACCCCATCATGCCTGTATGAAATTCACCTTTCCATCCTCAAGCATGGAATTCACCTATGGATTCATCTCTTGTCTAATGGGTTGTACTAAAAGTAAAATACCTTGGTGAGTCAAATCATGCGATGGAATTTAAAAAAAAAAAAAAAAAGTTTGGGTTACGTCATGTCTAGATTCATATGTCAGTCTTTCCATAGGTCTTCACCTAGAAATAATTATGTTTTTTGTAGAACTGCAGCCAAAAGAAAACTTGATACATATAACACATATATACACATGATCTGTAAAACCTATTTGTTAGTCATCTATCAAAACACTGAGAAGCAGGAACTCAGGACTATATCCCCATCTTTGTGAGCAGCTCATGTTTTAAAGCCATCTGAAAACAAGATAGCTAGAAGTAGTTTACTTTGCAAAATGTTTTACTCTATATAATACTTTTTCCATGCTAATAAATGATGACTCTGCCTGCAGTGATCCTACATAATCATTCTAGCTTTTTATTTTCAAAAAATGGAGGCAGCATTCTGCTGCAATTCTCTTACCACCAAGGATCAAGAATTTCCATTCAGATCTCATATTGTTGTTATATTGTTGTTATACATGCCTGTTACTGATAAAATGTTTTGGTGCCATGGTCACAAAAATCCACTGAAGATTATAGAAGTTTTTCCTTTTTTCCAGTCAGCTTTACTCACCGTTGTTATCCACATATGTATATTTGATCCACTTGCATATAAAATTATATATACACACAATGAAGTTTAAAAGTAAAAAAAAAAATGCACTTACACTAAAGCAATATTTGCAATGTTACCTTTTTACCATGATAAGGTGCCTCTTATAGCTATGATTCAACAGTTATTAAAATGATTTTTACAAAAGGAAGCCAGAATTCACCGTAGAAAAAATGGGGTTTGATAGTACCAGAAAGAAAATTGAAAATAGTTGCATGCCCTTGTATATTGTACGAGTAAGAGACAAACTAATGTCATATAATACCATTATTCATATTCTGTTGGCATCAGAAGTCTGTGAAAGCATAAACTGATAGGTATTGATACTCATAGCTCTTAATAAAGCCATAGAATTTGGAGGGAAAATCAAGTCTTTGATATACCAGAAAAAGATACATAACTATAGCCATGTTTAATGAATTTATATATAAACCTAAACACCTAACTCAACCTAAAAAAAATCAGTTGAGATTACATTTATTATTCTTTATTAAAATTTCCACTGGATATCTAACTAAATTCTTCCTTCACTGTTGACTAAGTTAAGAAGCTGCAAAGACTGTATCTGCACTGGAGGCAAGGCAGCCCACTTTTCTGGTTGGCAGAACAATTTTCCCAGGCAAAATGGTTTATTTTAAATAGCTTTTGTGAGTACAAAGGATGCTGGAGTGCTAACCCTTTCTGCCTCCAGCTGAGGCAATTTGCTGCTATTGCAGACATGGACACTGTGTGTTTCAACACCTATATGCCATACCCTTTCTGTCACCTGAATACCAAACACTGTTTTGATGAGGACTGTAAAATTCTGCAGAACCACTGATCAAATGTACTTTTACTATTTTTTACTTTTTTAATGCTGCAAAATGGAAGTTTCAAAACAGAAAAGCAAAAAGAAAAAGGGCCCTGACATTTTTGTGTGCTTCTATAAAATGTTTACCATTTATTCCTCTCTAATCAAAATACTTACATTTTTGCCTGTAACTACAGGCTCTTCTGAATTTTGAACAAGAACAGGCAAGAATCTTCCCAAAAAATCTCTTTCATGTCATATTTATTTCCCTTTGATTTTGTTTTAAATGAAGATTGTCTCATTAATCATATAAATCACAAAATAAGATAATTTGCCCGTAGAAAAAGAATTACATACCTTATATTGGATAAGGAGACCATAAACCAAAATATTTTTCTTTTTCACTTCCTTTGCAAATTTCTTGATCCTAGCTAGTTCTTCCATCCCAATACCAAAAGAAGTATTTTCTGAAATATCCAAGTGCACCTGCAAAGGAACGAATAACAAAAACCAAAACGATTCCACTTTTTCCATGGTCTGTCTGAAACAGACTGCCAGTTTTGAGTCTCTCATTTTTGTGTGCTAAGCACACATAAAAATACAGGCTAACAAAGGTTTTTCTTAGTTAGCTTCTATTACTATTGAATTGCACTACTTATCTATTTAGTGACATGAAAATTATTTCTTTTCAAAGCACAGCGAAAGCAATACGCCAGAACGCATCAGAACACAATGTTCTAAATGCATATCAAAAATATTTAATTAAATCAGAAAACAAACAACATTTTTTTCTAAGCTCTAACTTTCACAGTTTTTTTTTTTTTTTACTATCAGAATACTAGAGAAATACAGGTGTTTTTTCTTAAGCATCTTAAAGGTTTTCAAAATGGAACTGCATTCTTTAAAGATTTCTTTTGAATTTACTACCTTTTCAGTATCGCATATTAGTTGCCTAAATTGGATTAATCTCAGGATAACACTTCAAGGTTAGAAAGCAGAAATTACTTCGAAAGAAGGTAGGGATATGACTATCCTGAGCTCTTGGGCAGGGAAAGGCAGGTCTCATATCCAGCGGGGATGCTGCACAAACGTGGAGGGTCTTACAGGACCTGAACTGATATCTCCAGGGAGGTATCAACTAGCTCAACCCTTTCCCAAGGCCTACATGTTCCACAGTTTAATCAGTTTACTTACAAAGTTTCTATTACCTGTAGAAATCAAAATTAAGGATGATGATTAGTATATATAAAGTTTCAGCATCTATTAGTAGCAGAAATACTTTTCCCCTTAAATAAAGAGAAAATATTTTCCTGGCTGAATGATTCCATTGACATAAAACTTACCTGTAAGTACTACAGAGAGGTAGGAATATAGAGGTAGCCCCAGAGATCTGTGCTTGGGAAAATTATTTCAAATTCCCTTTGTACCTTATGTTCAATTTATCCTGACAGACAATAGGTTTTTACTCATTTTACCTTGCAACACTTTTTAAAAAGCTGTTTACTGTCTAAGTGCATATCCACCAGGAGCAAAGCTATTGTCTTCTATTACACAGGCAGAGGTTAATTTTCAAACACTCATTATTTTGTTATTTTTTACCCAAAACTAGCCTAAGTACTGTTCATTTACAGCTATTTACAAGAAATTTTAAAACCTATTATTTTGAGAGAACATGACCTACCACCTATTTACCATTATCCTGTTTTACAGCTTTAAAAAGAGATTTTTCTCAAACTTTTGTACTGAAATGCAAATACTGGCAACTACAGAGCTGAAGTACTAGCATTCCTTTCTTTCTATCCCTAAGTAATAACAACAAAATAAAAATCATATCCATTCATAGCATCTACAAATGTGATCATGTATTACTCAGAAGAGTAAAGTCAGTTTAAGAATATGATTCTTCTGGTTATAGCAGAGTTGGACAGGATACTGGTTTGATGTAGACAAATAATTGCATGAAGTTTACCTCTGTGCTTCCTATTTCTCCTGTAACATTAATCTTCCCTTTTCTGCTATGTCCACGTACAGTAGTCCAACTGCTGCTTCAGCTTACAGATGCTACAAAAATCTCCAGTCAGGCACCAGGATAAAGGACAGACTTTGCAATCTGTGGCAATTTATAGGAGGGAATACGGACAGAAGGTATCGTGTCCAGTGCAAGCTCATCCCTTTACTGGGATAATTCTCCCCAGACTGGTTAAACAGACAATCTGGCACAATAATAACACCTGTCATTTTTACAACCAAAGCTGAACATTGGAAGGAAAACCAAAACCGATTCTCTTAATTATCAGATTGTTATGAAAAGTTACACGTGTCCTGAAATCAAAGAATAGACAAAAACTTTCCAATTATACAAAAGTCTACATTAGACTGGTCCTGATTATGAGGTTAGAATGGAAGCAGTTAGCTGCTTTCATCATTTATCCTTTCAATTCTTCACTACCAGAAACAGTTTTACTTTTGAGAGTAGAAAAGAATAATGTTTCCCATACAGCTAGTACCTAAAACCTATGCATTTAAATGTCATCATATTGCTTAAAATTCTAAGTCACATTTGCTTGAGAAATATTGATGTGCCCTTTTACATCAAAAGAAAGTGTCTTACGGGACTTTTCACTAACAACGCATTCAGGTTTTATGTTAAATGAAGTATATAGCAAAGAATAAAGCTGAAGAGAATCCCGCTCATAAGCCTTAGTGAAGAGGACACCCAACACTCAATTTAATTAAAGACTGCTGAAGGAAGATTCTATCCCCCAGCCATACCATCTGTAATGAGTTTTAGGGATCGGAAGTTTAAAGGACTTAAATAGTTCCCAGTGATGAATATGAGACAATGATTTGTTTAGCTAATTCTTTAGTCATTTAAAACATACTTTCCAGTCCTCCTATTTTTATCTTCCTGTATTTCTAAAAGATAGTGTGGTAACTCCATAAAAAATGCCTTTTTATAGTTAGGATACTTCATTTTTTAAAGATACTTTTAACAAATATACGTGTTTTTAAATGTTAGCAACTGCTTCCACCCAGTTATAAGACTTTTCTCCCACTGTCTAGTTTGGGGAAATTTCAAGTATTTGCCAGGAACAACTGATGGATCTGGAGTACAGTAAAAGGATTAAATGTATCATTTTCTCCTGAGGCTATTTTAAAAGGTGTCCACCTAAATAATTTGTGTATGCTGCAGACTGCTCAAGCAAGTACACTTTCATTAAAAATGATATTGGATTCTACAATGACTTCAAGATCTAGTATCTTAGGGGAAAACCTGAGCTTCATGGTGATCATGTGTAAACATTATTTGCATTTATACCTATTTCTCAGGAAATATTAAGTCCATAAATAATATTTACAGCTACAATTATTAAAACAAAGCTCTCACATGCCGTGTGTCACACTAAAAAAAGGACTTAATTCAAAGTCCAGAGTAGAGATTAGCTACGAATTGGGCACAAAATAAGCCTGCTTTTAACCCTGTAGTATTAGCTCGTTGATTAACAATTCCAAGTTTAACTGCACACCCCCAAAATCTAACACAGAAACAGGTTTTTGTATTCTTGATAAAGGACTAATGAAAACATTCTCAGTCCAGAAAAGAACATTCTACACATCCTGTAGCCTTGTAAATGGGCAACAGAATTGGAGGCATGTCATTGCTCTGATTATCAAAGGCCGAAATAATTTATCTTTGAAAATTCAGTAAAATTAAAGCTCTACCCTGAACTTCCTCAGAAATAAGGTCAAGAAAAAAAGATGGTCTAGAAAAAGTGCTAAATATTGATGTTCATAGAATCACAGTAGCTCACTCCAAGACAACAGCATACAAAGGTAAGGATATAACGTTTTTCATTTGTAAAAGTAATTGATCTTCATGATAACTCATTTATTTGTGAGATCAATAATGAAATGCCAACACTTAAATTTCAGATTAAGCCTAAAATTGAGAAGTAAATCCTCAAGTTTTACCTCCAGATCACTAGACTATGCACTTCAGAAACTATTCAGGCCCTGTGTAAAATAACTATATATTCCTTTTTCAAGAGCTTCATATATAGAATTATATTTTAAAATCACAACATATTATCTTGTGTTCTTGCTGGAGAGTATAATAAATGTAGTCCAGTGTGACACATGGCATTAATGACACTCATTCCACCCAATACTTCTCATCCCTACCTATTAAGCCAGAAAACATAATGACAGAATTAATTGGATCCGGTTACACTGCACGGAGACTTTCAAATCTACTCATATTTTCTCCTTTTTAACAGTCTGAGTAAAATAAAAGTCATGTACACCTTCAGCTGTCGTCCGCATGAACTGTTATTCTGGCAGCAATATTCAAATAATGAGAATTTCAGACAAAAATACACTTTAAAACTTTTGCCACATACCAGAATAGATTTTTCAGTCTTACAGCATCTCAGTAGGTAAAGTATGTATTAAAGTTATATTGCAAAGTACTTCAAAGTTAATTTTTAATAGTTGGACCAGAAAAGCAACAATAATTTTAGAACGTTGAATAAACCACACAGCACAGAAAAAAATAAAGCCACGTAATTCTCTTTCAACTGAGCATTCAAGCCAAGTACATCATTTGCAGCATCCCCAGCAGAGATGAAGCACAACAGCAAAGCAGGAGTTAACAGTACAATATGACTACCCACAATGAGTCTTTCACAGAAATACATAACTAATAAACCGTCATTTTCTGGTGATGGTTTATTTCCTGACAGCATGCAGTACATTTGCTGAAATGCAAATGATGCTCTTTACAGTCTAATTTATAGTTCAAATTTAAATTTTATTCAGAGCTAGCAGCGGTTTAAACCTAGTCTAACATTGAAAAATATTTCATTAGATACTTTCCACAGTAACTTACAGGAGTTACCTACCGAAATAAGGACAACTGGATATAAGAGAGGAATATTTGATTTTTCCAACATATCCACTAGTTGCTGGGTTTCTTGAATGGCATATTTTTTATCCTAAATGAAAATAAATTTTTAGAATTACTGAAAACATCAAACAATGATTTCATAAAAATGGAATTCAAAGATCTGTTATTTATCAAAAAAAGATACATCACTTTTTTTTTGTTGTTTTGGGTGGTTTTGGTTGGTTGGTTGGTTTTAATATATTTGTAATGCTTTTGTCTGGTAAAATTATAGCTGTTTTAAAAAAAATTGAGATTAATCATATTACCCTTAAGAAAGATATATATACACACACACATATAAAAAGCTTAAGGGTCTTGACTGGTCTCAGATATGATCATCTAAAACCCTCCTGTTCCCATACAGGGACCCAAATACAGATTGCATGGCATGCTTGTATCTAAAATGGTAAACACTAATTTAGACCATGGTAGCAATGCACAGTTAGATGACTACACATATGACATACCACTTCTTGAGACAATTCACTTCAATACAATATTTATGAAAGGAAATTTTAAACTACTTTCAGTTGCATCCCTCTTGTTCAAGAAGTCATAGCTGGTTTAACAAGATACTGAGGGTAGTGCAGAACCAGGAGAGAAAGAACAGACCGATATCTCAAAGGTCTAGTTTGGCGCACATCAGAAACACCAAACATCAGAATGCATACACCACGAGGATAGAAATAACAAACAACTTATTATTCAAATATGTAATTATGTAATTATTATTTACCATTACTTTTTTTTCAGTAATGGTAAATTACTAAAAACTATTTACCATTACTAAGTTTAAGTGCAAAACAAAAAGCATGCATCCTTACCACTTACATTTACGCAAACAAAATTGTAGCACTGTCCTGAAAAGACGTTTTGTAGATGGCTATCATTTTTGCTTAGAGATAGAGCTTCAACCTGATTAGAAAAAAAAAAAAATATTCCTATATCACCAATTTGACTTCAGCCTTAACAATCTGATAAAGCTTCCACCATTATGGCAGTTTGTTCATTCAAATGATTTTAAACTGGCAATTATTTCCACTACAAGAATCAAAAATTGCTCAGATTTTTAGGTGACTCAACAGTGAAGCATGGAGACCAACACCCTGCAGAGTTTTCTGCAAGTTTTTGCTGAAACATACTGCTAGGGGGAGCCATTCTGGAAACAGCCCTCGAAGTATCGGACACTAGCGCTGATGCCTGGAACATCAACTGTTCCCAGAGATGAAAACACTGTTCATAGGATCAAGACGATCTAATGATTGTAGACCTCTAATTTTGAGAAAATCTCTATAATATTCAAATACATACATATTTTGTCTCTGTGCAACTAAAAATAAAATAAATGAAGACATACGTATGAAAGACCAGGTGCAAAGGTATTCTAGGATTCTGCATACAACAAGACTCATTTATAATTTCTCCTGAAAAATAATTTCCTCAATGCATACTTTAAAATACTGCCTTAATCACAGACATACTTATTTTGCAACCTTTAAATATAACACCAGTTAAGAAATTATCTTATCCTAACTAAAATAAAAAGTAGATTCTACTACATTATCAACTTCAGGATTGCCTTAAGTAAAACAGCAAACCAGGCAGTAGAACGGGAATTTGTTCCCTAAGCGAAGATAACACTTTAAAGCCAATAAAAAAACCCGTTGAAAATAAGGCAAAAAAAAATCTTCATATTTCTTCTATGTCCTGGTTTCGGCTTAAACCAACAAACCTCACTGTTCCACTGCTCAAATGAGCTTTATTTCTGCCCAGAAGACATATTATATATAGCAGCAAACAACCGAAGAAATACACTGCTGTGTTCCCTTGAAATGTCACTTAATCCACAATCCAACAGAAGTACCAAATACAACATTTAAGAAGGCTTTGCGCTGTTATCTGAAGCTGTATTTATTTTTTTAATACTTGGGCAGCTAACTTGTTTGCAAAGGAAGGTGGTTTGAAACCCGAAAGTTGATATTTATGCACTAAAGAATTGAGAAACAATTTGGGCTGAAAACTTGATAACGCAGCCCCAAACAGTTGACATGTTAATATTTTAAAGAGATTTAAAAAAAAAAAAAAAATATCACAGAAGGCAAGAATTACTTAAAATACTTGAAAAATGTAATACTCCAGGGCTCTCCTGGCTTGAACTTCTGCAGAAGTAAAATCAGAAATCCCCAGTACCTTTACAACTTTGCACATACTTAGATGAACAGGAGCATACTGCATGCCAGAATCTTTTCAAAAGGTAAATGGAACATGACTCAAGGGAGAAGGCCTACTTTTTTTTTTTTTCTTGAGATATTACAATACATGATGCTTAAGTATTCCTGAACATTTAAAAATTAATTTAGTGTATCAGAGTTTTGATTTAACTTGAACAATTTGATAAAGCAGTACACTGAGCCTTTGTTTTGCAGCCATATTATCCAGCAAAAATTAAATCAGATTTCTCTCTTGGAAAAGTAAGTACAGTTGCCCAACTAGAAGCTTCAATATCTCATCAATTAACTAAAATTAATTCTTACTCTATTTGGCATGTTAGTATCCTACGCAAAATTTTTTTTTAATTAAAATTATTATTAATCAAAGTTATCAGCTACTTGAGAAAGCAAAAATTACATGAAAATACCACCTCAGTAAAAAGTGTTTGCCACATAATGTTTCAATGTTTAAATAGAAAAAAGTACACGGATTTGCTTAATCACTTCTGGTCATTGTAGCAATCGATATTCAGCTAGTGTAAAGAAGCAGGGATCTAAGTTTTTATGAACATGAAGATAGGAATAATAAATATGCTTTCTTTAATGTTTTTCTACTTATCAGATACCCTGTGCTGAAGTTTCAACTTTATTCAACATCTACTTTTGTAAAATCAAAAAATACCAGGACACTGGGAATCTGTAAAAGTTAGTTAAATTACATCAGAATTTAAAATCACAATGAATTCCAGTCCAGCAGATGGACAATACAATGATTAAGAAATTAGTGAATTTCTACTAGAGAAACACTAGTTCTCTTCCAAATTGAAAACAACCAGATATTTTGCTATACTGCTTGTGGATATTTATCCAGTCACAAAAATAACACACAACTTCATCCAGCTGATTACACTGCATGTGACAGGAGCACCTTGTCACTGAATAAGCAGGAGTATGTAATTTCCAGCCACAGAAGAAAACACCTTCAGCCCCCATTTAGGTTTGCCTGCTTCAAAAGAAAGGGCTAAATAACAAACTTAAGGAAAGACTCAACTAATGTTGTTCACAGTAAGAGAGCTGCAAAACATTCATTCATTAGTTATACAGTTTACAGTAACACTGATGAAAATACTTACTCTTAAACTACTTTGCAAGCAATAACTGTTGCCTTAATTTTTTTAGAAAAGCTTTTATTTTCATTTTCTTTATCTCATCAGTTCAATTTTTAGGTCTTTTCCCCCGTTATTGGCATTATCAAGTTATTGGAGTCTCTCTCAGAAATCCCTCTAACAAAATTTCTTTTGAATTGTTCTTTAAGGATTCTTTAAGGATGCATCTGGAAGTTAGCAAATATCTTAAAAGTAAATATGGCTGCTCCTAAGAACTAGAGTGTCAAAACTATCTAAAATGTTAAAATACTAGTTTAAATTTCAGATAACATGTACCCTACTGAATGATTCCCAATTCGTGTCTTATTTAGAACAATTATCCTCCAATTAGCCCTTTGAAAAGGCCCAACTTTCAGTGCGGTTCGTTTAACTTGCTTAAAATAATTATCACATTGTATATAGCCAAATCTCTCTCTCACAAGGTTACCGTGCTTCACTTGAGAAATCATAGGCCAATGGATATATTCTTTCCAAGGTGCTTCAAATATAGAAGATCTGTATATTGGTAAGCTTAAAAATTAACTCTTAGAGATTTTACTGTTTAAAAACAAGACATTCAATATATAAATATTAGTTTTTATAGATTTTCAATCTAAGGGTTCATCAAATGAATGACTAAGGATGTTTCAAGGAATAATACAAGAGAGGGATCTTGATGGAGTTCTTTGGTACATGTCAATTTGCAGGAACATTTTGAAAGTGTTGAAGAGAAATTTCTATCAACTTCATTATGAGGAAAGTCAACATGGAATCAAAAAGAGAACAGTGCTAGAAATCAACTAGATCAGTCCCATATCAGTAGAAATCCCTTCATTTTATGCCCTCATTACCTTGTTTGTGGTCATTTTACATGTGTTTTATTCAAATGCACCATAGGTTCAGGTGCCTGACCAACCCAACAATTAAATGGTTCTGCAATGACAATTTGGAAACATGTTGTAAATTTTAACTAGTTTTGCTGCCAGTCTGATTTGAGGTTGCTAAGTTTGGAGTCACAGTGTTGGCTCATCAAACATAACGCATTCTTTAACTTTTCTTACTGGCTTGGAAGTGTTTCTTATGGTATGATTAAAGTGGTTACATGCAATCATTATATATATATATATAGGTAAGTCAACACTTAAAGAAGTACTTTTTTTCTAATATGGGTAAGTGATGTCTTCCTAGTAACTGGAGAATAGTTTAAATGGAGAGGAAAAAGGAAAAATAGCAATGGATCTGGTATCAGTGAAATGGAAACATACTTATGCTCCATTATACAGCTATTCAGACAAGACAAGATCTTATTCAACTCTGCTAATGTTTTGCACTTTTAAATGTAGACATTTAATAGATATAAAGCATGATTTTCCATACTAAATACAATTCTTTCCAAACAAAAACTGTTAAGTACAATATCAAATGACATTTCTAGATATAACATAGCAATACAGTTTGCTACAGAAAAACATCCTACTATTAATTAAGCACACAATGCAAAAGATCAACAGACATGAATAAAACCATTACAGAAGTAACATTATGCAAACTGGGAAACCTGTATTTTTAAACAGCTATTCCCTGCCTGTTTCTCTGGGTAATAGAAAGATCTGATATCTTCACATACAATATAATTAAGAATCACCCCAAGATCAGTCCAGATTTAAGCAATTACCAAATGCTAATCACCTTTGGGAGAATGAAAATATGTGATAGTTCTATTAGTAGGAATAATGAAAAAGGAAAAGATAGTTAAATGCCAGGAGAAAATTCCATCAATATCCTACAGCAAAGGCTTCGATGAGCATTCGCTATGAGTGAAATGTACCCCTCTCTCTCTGCAAAAAGGCTGATTAATTTGACTTTGCATTCGTAGCTCTGCAGGAATACAACTTAATCTTTAATTGGTTCAGACTTTAATTCAGACTTCAAAGTAACAAAAGCATTTCCTCTGTAACATATTTGTAACAATTTGGGCTTACTGAATTCATAAAATCTAAAGAAAATGGCCTCTCTGTTGTCTGGATCCAATTTCTCCTCTAATCTAATATATATATTTTAAGAGGATCTGTAAGATCCCCCTCTACAGCGTAATTGGGCAGAAGATGCTTCTTTCTTGGTAACTTCTACACCTGGTGTTAATCCCTTGTAATAAATACTACAGTGACACAGGAGGTCTCCATTTCTGTATTCACATTATTTAGACCGTTTCTTACGAGTTGCGACAACCAGAAACATTAAATTAATCATACAGTTTACAGCCATAGAGTTGTACTTACTTTTATTTGGCTTTCCAGAGATTCATGAAGGAGAAAACCTACTTGTGCAACAGCTTCCTTCACATTCGTAATAACACAAACTTGTTGTGATAGGTTGTCTGTGATCAAGAAAAAAACCTTAGTATTTCATGCAAAGATAAATCAATCAAAATTGCTAATCTGCTAAACATCACCTTCAATCCATATACTGCTGTCTCTTGACAGAACCTTTTCAACAGCTGTAAATTTAACTTTAAGATTACTTATTTCAAGGCACAGTTAATATAACTGCATAATTTACGTAACATACATCTTAAATATAAAATCTGTATTATATTTTATAAGATTTTGTACAAGATGAAAACATCACATAAGGCCTGTCCCCAAAGCCCATTTAAATAAGGGACTTCTATGAAAAGGTATTTGCATGGGCCCATATTACTGACACTAGATGACAACCAAGAAAATAACATTTTTAAAACTTCACACCACTTATCCCTTCAACAGATCACTAAAGGCAGTGTCAGCAATATTGAGAAAAGCAAATAACCCCAGGAGATAGCACAAATTCTCTTCCCAACAATATATACCACATAATAGCCAAAAAAAAAGAAAAAATGTACTGAAGATACTGCTCAGGGAGACAGCAGATATAACTGTTCATCTCAATATCAACAAAGTTGCAGAGTCAGTGACAAGGATCTTGGTATGGTGAACTTCTCAGATCTTTTACGGGTGCAGGAAAAAATACAATATTTTGTTGATACCAAGAACAACAGTTTCAAGTTATTGCCTGATCTGCTCCATAAAGCAAGTATTTCAGAAAATTAGTATTTTCTCTTGATACTGACTATGGTTTCAAGATTCAGTGAGTGTTTTCCTTTCTTCAAGCAAACAAATCAAAATAAATCAAGTCTGGAACTCTCACTTCTAATTCAGGATTTTATTCTTTAGATGTTGAATTAATATGCAGACCAAAACGTAAGATTTCCAATGTCTTTGGGGTAGCTATTCCATAAGCAGCTAGAAATTTCATAAATGTAAAGTCTAATTATGTTTAAAGCAGACTTCAATGAAACTTCAGGGACAGAAATATACCAAACACCACCACAAAATCAATTAGTAGTGAAAGACATAAAAGAAATTGTAAAAATATGGCCTAACTGCTCTTCAAACAAGTCTGAATATACATATTTGTTGCATGTGGAAAGTTTTTTTTATAACTACATACCACACAATAAGTTCAATCAGATGCATTACTTAAGTAAACATCTCCCTTTCTATTGTAAACTCAAAGACTTCTTTACAAAAATAGACATACAGACCTGAAAGTTAATTTTAAAGCTGCTGCAGAGTTAACATTATTGGAAAGTGACTTGTGATTTTTAAACAGTTTTTTGTGAGCAGGAAAAGTGAATTAACCACTGAGGATCCCATAAGGTAATTACAATGACTTTATGAATCATGGGCATTTATTATGTCCAATATTTATAACGTGACAACAAAAATAGTGGTAGCAACTGGCTTTGTATTAAGTTAGCAAGAATGGGGAGGGGGGAAGAAAGAGAGAGAACAATAAACATCTGCTTATAAACCATCACAACCAGATGAAAGCGAGAATTAAAAAAATGCATGGCCAGTTCTCACAGGACTGGAAATCACAGGATACCACAACTGTGGGAGAAATTATCTTCCCATAGATTCACTGGGCAAAAAAATATACTGAACATGCATCAAAGTTGGCTTCTACTTAATACAGAATAACTTTACAGTCTAAAAAATGGGTCAATGGGAAACCATATTGAATTAATTTCTTATCAGCAGAAAGAAACCAGTGGGTAGATTGAAATCAGAGCAAGAGCCACTTGAATTTAGTACTGTACATGGAATGCAGATACACTGCAGATACAAGATAGATGTACATAATAAACCAGACTGGCATATCAGATTTCAAGAACTAACATTCTACTGAACTAAGTAATTTAATGAAGAAGGTCAGATTGGAGCTATTACAAAAATCCACATGTGGAAGAAGGCTGTGGAATCCAAAAAGGCACCATAACTTATGCTCAGACAGTTCTTTTTGAAAAGAAGGCAGTTATCAACAGCAAGTGTCAAAAGTAACCTCACAAGAGGCTGCTCAAAGACTGCAACTGTAAAAGCCAACCTCACTCCTCTCCCCAGCCCCCTTAAACCTATAACTTCCTGTAATGTAAATGAGACAGAAGAGACAACTACCAAAAAAGTGACTAAGATTCACAGGTTGAATTTAATAAAGAAGAAAGCAAAATTAAATGAAGTGTGAAAAAATGTATTTTTAATCTGGAGGAGGAATGTAATGTTATAGGGGGAAAGTGTATTAATAAAGTATGAAAAAATTAAAGTAATGATAATACACACATTGAAAAGATGTTGCAGGCTTTAAAATGATCAAGAAAAATTAATAAAGGAAGTCTAGGAAATCATCGTTTATAAAATCATCAAAGCAACATTTCTGTTCTAGTTGAGGTTTAAAACTCAATTTCCATTTAAATCCCAACTGTTTCAAGTGGCCAAAAAGATCTGTATGTTAATGTAGACAGTTTGCACCTTTGCTGTATTGTGGGAAGGAAGGCTGAGTGGAGCCTTCCTTTCCAGGGCTGCCTGTGTCCCACCTCTGGTAAGCCGATGGAGCTCGCCCTCACTCGGTGCAATCACACTGAACCCAGTGAGCACAGCTGGAGCGCTGGCTCGTAACTCCACGGGCTGCAGGAGTTCTGCTACCAGTAAAGCTAACTGCGTTCCGCATTTCATTCCTGGTTTTCAGAAGTTTGGGTGAACGAAACAAGTAATTCTGGAAAGCTACGTCATGGCCATGTCACAAAGAATTTTAATGCTCAGCTAACAAAATTTTGTTTTTCATAATTCAGGCTGGAAGGGACCGCAGGATGTCTCTAGTCTAAACTCCCACTCAAAGCAGGATCACCCATGAGGTCAGGCCTGGTCGCTCAGCCCCTCGTCCCCCTGGCACTTGAAAACCTTTGAGGATGGAGACTGTACAACCTCTCCAGGCAACCTGTTCACTGCTTGACTGTCCTCATGGTGAAAGCGTTTTTCCTTTTATTGAGTTGGAACTTCCCCCGGTTCAGTTTTTGCCTGTTTTCTCTTGTCCTCCCACCATGCACCACTGTTCTACTTTTCTTCCCTACTTTCACATCACACCTTCCTTTTCATCTGCCCAACCTCTTTTTTTTTTTCCTCTCGCTATTACATTGCCTATCAAAATCTCTCTCTTGCTTTGGCTTCCTCTTCCTCTACTTACTTTAAACTTATTATTTCCCTGGAAACCTCCTCTTCCCAATACATGTCTCCCATTTACTCTCGGCTTCTTTCCAGCTGTATCTGATTATGAAGTAGCCCTCCCCATACTGCATCACATTTCACATCCACTCAGAGCATATTTTTTGCATAAAATTAAAAATAGTTAAAACTTTACACTGCCTAATTCTCTTAGGTTAAACATTACATTTCTCTATCAGAAAAGGGGTAGGAATTTTCTTTATTAAAGATAAATTTGATACAGGATTTCAGAATTTGTTCCATTAAACCTCCTTCTCTCTCCAGCAGAAAGCTTAATTTTAAATTTTTTAAATCCTGAAAGCTTTAGATCACATTATTATTCAGTAACACCTGTTACAGTCTTTATCCTAGGTTTCACCCAAAATTATAAATTAAAATGTGTGCATGTTTATGGAACTACCTTAGTTATATAATGTATTAAGTGTACTCTAATGAATGACTTGAAAGTTTACCCTGAAAAGCATGCCACAGACAAGTAGCAATTAAAATAATACTTTGTTTGAATAAAGTTCATAAATATCATATCCTAGGGAATTAATACCATAAGAATAAAAATGCATCTGAATGGCAAATGGGTTTTAGCCTACAGACATACATTTTTTCTCTTAATTGCACATAGATGTGTATACATACACTTGTTTTTGTAAACATATGTTCACACCATGCCATTCCTAGTCTGTCATTACAGTTCCTACTATTTTGGAAGCACATCCTATTCATCAAAATACTTTTGAAGTTTGCAGTGAATTCAGAATAGTAAATTAATTTATCAGAATTCCATTTTCACTTTCTACACAGCAATGGCTTGACTGGTCTGGAAATTCAGTATGGCTCTCCCTGGCATTTTTAGTGTCTCAGAGATGTTTCTACCACTTACAAAACAGAAATGAAATAAGTGCTGCCAAGCATCTACTTCATTCATGCTCAACAGAATGAGTTGAAATTGTTATTCATATAACACAGGTAACAAAAACACCTAACAATTTTTTGTTTACCCATTCCACATTTCTCTGTAGCCACAAAAACTAAAGCCAAATTTGACACCACCCCTACCAATATTAGTATACAAGAAAGAGAGGAAGATTTTGTGGTAGAAGACAAGGAAGAGGGTTATTTTCACCTGACAATAACTATTCTGAGGACTACCTCCCCACCTGCCAGTCTATTTCTTTGCCTCGCAGCAGAGAACAGCCCCTGGTTAATGAGTGTGCCCATGAAAATGCAGCCTCCCTCGAGTAAGATATCTGTCCTTTGATAAACAAGGCTTATGTCTTTTTTTTTTTTTAATAAAAAGTCACATGGGTTCTTCATATAACACAAAACTTAGTATGTAGCTCCCAACAGTCATGAACAGTTTGAAGGCATTACAATATTTGTCTTGGCAATTGCAAAACATAATTGCATTTATATCAGCAGGTATTTATTTAGCCAAATGTGAGGGCAAAATATCCAGTCTGCAAGTGCACGCTCTTGTGAAAAAGTCATTGCAGAAGAAGGGCCCTTAAGAAAAGAAAAAGGAGGAAAGTCAGTCAAACTTTAGTTACAAACTTCTACTGAGAAGCACCATTTAAAGTTTACATGTTGGAACAAGAGTTCAAAGATACCTACCCTGAGGGCAGTAGTCCTAATGGAAATTTTTTAGGATGTTTTGTATTAGCCTGATCTTAACTACATTTCTAGATGAGTCACCCTTATTGTAAGACGATGTTTTCTTACTTCAAGACTATTAAAAATAGGCGTGTGCCACTTTGTCTGCATACTCTACAAGTTCATACCTGCT